ACATACTTTTTCCCCAGAAGATCAACCGCCACAAAGACGAAACATCTGAAGGACAACCGGGCAAGAGGGTCAACTCCTTTACCCTCCAGTCGATTTCCTTGGCACAGCAGGCCAACAGTCGACTAGTCGGGTAAAGGGAGGGCAGCTGTAGACCCAAAATCTTGCCCGGCCTCATAATAAAGACCAGAAGACCTCCTTTTTGAAGATGGATGAAGCCTAAGAAGCCACTAGGAGAGACTATTAGGCCCATACTAGGATAGGAGGGATTTTTGGCATAAAAATAAGGATTTTCGCCTTTTAGGTTCGAGACCGCCGTCTCGCCTTGTGAAGGTGGCGAGACCGCCGTCTCGTTTGGCGAGACGGCCGTCTCGACCCTGTCAAACGAGACAGCCCGTCTCGACCTGACAGGCGCGAATCCCTATAAATAGGAGCCTCATTCCCCTCATTTCACACAGTTCTTTCTTTCTCTCTCTATACTTTTCTTCAAATTCTCTCTCTAGACCCCCTCCGAAGCATTTTCGGAGTTTCTGAGAGTTTTCTAGAGCGTTTTTGAAGCGTTTTCGGCATTGTAACGAGCGGAGGGCTGCCAAAAAGCACCCTAATACTCAAAGAATTAATAGAAAAGCTTGCTTCGGAGGTTTCTATTTTCTCTCTCAATCTTTTATTGCCTTATTCTAAAATTACGCAATAGACATTAGAGTCATGTAGTCATAGTTTAAAATTCCGCAAAATAAAAGGGTAAAAGCATATTTTCACAGGTTATTTATTTAAAATAGCTGGCCTATCATAGGGAACCCGAAAGGGGCATCGTAAAGGAACTAACACTTCCTTTACACGTAACTAACTCCCTTACCCAACTCTGGTTCTAGTGACCAAAGTTGGTTTTTCGAAAACCAACGCCTTTTCACTCCTTTTTCGATGTTTCCGGTAAAAACTTCAGTGGTGACTCCAGATGAACCCTTCAAAAACTAGCTCTTGGGTTAGCCCGGTTATCAGACAACCCAACAGCACCCTTTCGAAAATCTCGCCTCTAGGTTCAGCCCGGTTTTCGGACAACCTAAAAGCGTTGTAACCACACCAATAAAAACGCGAAAAATGGAAAGTCAAAATCATCGCGTCGCTCCGACCGCCTCGTTTTGACGGCGACGACAATGATTATCATTGATTTCTATGGAATTGTCTTACAATCACAGAAATAAATCGACAACAGTTCTAATCAATTACAATCCAAATGAAATTTGTATTCATAAATCAATTATTAAATCAAGAAATTACATAAACGTAGAAGTTGAATTGTGATGTAAAAAAGGCATTCAATCAAATAACCTCAATTACATTGATTGTGGTTAGAATCATTAAGAGTCAAATCTAAACCATAGAAAACAAGTTTTAATCGGCGAATCAACAACACAAACGATTTAGAACATGATTAACAATTGAAGCACAAAGAACCATATGAAAACATTAAAGATATGAGTGGAAGAAGATGTAGAAGATGAAAACAGGAAGTAAAAACGAAGAATTAAGGGCAAAGAACACAAATCTGATCAAGAAACACTTGAATTGATAAACTCATTGTATTATTCATACAAGAACTTCATAAACAAACTTTGAAGCTAAGCATCACCATAAACTAGAGAAACTTGTAAATAAATTTGTGACTAAAACTTAACTTATGTTTCTACACCTCCGAAGATCTATTTATACAACAACAAAATCATACAAAGTGTTTAAGACTCATTCGAAGCCTATGATTACAAAAAAAAAACTCAATACAACATTCTACAAAATTGAAATTCGACTAATCCACTCAACGGTTTCATATCCGCTCAACGGATTGTCAGTTACATTAGTTACATGAGATTCTGACACATTCCACTTAATGCATCAAAAAGCGTTAAGCGAATGCGAATCCGCTCAGCAGATTGTTGATTTTCTGGTAAAGAGCTCTCTGGACTTATTCTGCTTAACAGATCCAAAAGCACTGAGTAATTTGCTCGAAGTTGATTTTGCTTGAGCGGATCGAGAAGTGCTAAGCGATTTACACTCGTTTCAACTGTTATAAATTCTTTAATTTATCACTCCTACAAGAGAAAATAAATAATTAGTAAAAATGTACAATTTAAGCAATAATTTTTATTAAGATAATTCTTATTTTCTTTTTACAAAACTATATTAATTATTAATAATTAATTAAGAAATATACTAAATATATATATATATATATATATATATATATATATTATATTAAAAAAACTATTGATAAAATGTGTTCATCCATCATTTTGATCTTGAGTACTAAATGAGTTCACATTTTATTCCATCAACTCTCAAACAACCTCAATTACCAAGAAGTCATTATTATCCACTCCAGAAAGATAATTGTAAGGAGTAGAATATGCTGATATAATTTTGGTTATCAATTTCTTTAAAAGATAGATCTATAATTTAAAAACATATATTAAATTTATAATCCTTAATATAATATTTCATAATTCAAATTATAATTCAAATTTAAATAATATAATATTAAATTAATGCTAAATTTGTACATATTTATAACAAATTATAGGTTTATTGATTTTTAACATTATATATAAACCTAATCCAATTTTATATTTTATATTTATGTAAATACAATAATTTTTAAATTAATTTTTATATTTAATATGTACTTAAATACAATAATTTTTTACCCTAATTTAATTTTATATTTTATATTAACTTAAATAAAATAATTGTATACCTAATCTAACTCACTTAAAAATTCTACACTCTCCGCACCAATACGCATCAAACCACCTCCACGAACACACCATCACACCCAAACATCCTACAACACACAACCACACGACCACTACTCTTTTATATTTAATAATGACTCTTGTTGGGACAAGGACGATGATTATAGGTGCATGTGAGGCAGGTGCTTAGCTGCTAGGATTCTCAGCATACACTGTTAAGATTGCCTGTATAAAAGGGATGCATGCACAATCATGTCGCTGAAAGATTCATTGCATACATGCAAAGTCATGTGAACCATTGTTTGCAACTATTATGGATTTTGTGTGAGATGAAGGTAACACGATAATTACACTTATCTTCTCTTTTATTTTTTTCGCTCTTCTTCTCGACTATGTGGGACTCTTCATTCTTATTCTCGCTCAAATTTATTATCATGTTTCTTTTCAAATCTCTCAAATTTGTCGTCAAATTTCTCTTCCGATCGGTAGATACAAATACAAATAATCCACACCTTTTCATCTACGTTAATAATACATATATGGAAACAAACACACGCTAAGGATTGTCCTTAGATTCTAACCCAGCTAAGGGTTGTCATTAGATTCTATCCCCAGCGGGCGGCAAAACTAGTTAGACAGAGACTTGTCTGTAATGTTATTAATTTACGTACCCAAAAAGACTCTTTCATAATTGGCCTATGTTTTGTATCTTTCTTTCTTAATGGATTCTTTTTGCCCCACCTTGTCACGGTGCAGTATATTGTGGACCCAAGAAAAATTCCATTATAGAGGTTACATTGTTTTCAAGAAAAAAATAAAATAAAATAATATATATATATATATATATATATATATATATATATATATATATATATATATATAGATAGATAGAGAGAGAGAGAGAGAGAAAGTAATGCATGTATTAATATAAATTAATGGCTGTGCCAAAGTTGCAATAAAAGTTTAATATTATAATTAACAAAATTGTTACATACAATTAATGGATTTTAAAGTTATCATAATATATGTAAATATTTATGAGGTTGCTTAAAGTTTTTATAAATGTATCTGAAATCTCATTTAGTTTTAATTTTAATTCAATATTTATAAAAAAATTTATTTTATATTTTTGTTACATTTTCATTATCAATCATGTATTTTCTTTTTCTCTTTTTTTTTCATCTCTTACTAAGTGGACACACTCACAAATCATATAGGATAATTATTTTCTATTCTTATTTACTTGATAATATTGAACATATATTTTATAATTATATTTTTAATACAAAATATTCATCAGTTTTTTTATAAATAAATTTTTTCATAACTCGAGATATCTTTAAAGGATAAGTTTAATGTTGTTCAAACAAAAAAAAACTGTTAATATGTTGAAAATATTCAACAATTTGTAAATTCAGCCTATAAATTAAATGTGGTTCAAAATTCATTTCTGGAAAAAATATTTGAAAAATATGAAAATTGATGAAAATATATATATATATATATATATATATATATATATATATATATTTTAAAATATATGAAAAGGAAATAAAATATTATTTTAAAAATAACAAATAAGAAGATAGAATTAAAAATTAATATCATGACAAAACCACTAATATAATTATTAATTATTTTTTATCAATGAAATAATTTTTAAAATTAAGATCTTAATTTTTCTAATAATATATATTTTAATATAATTATATAAGAATTATTATAAAGTTATATTTTTCTTAATAATATATATCGTATTAAAAAATAAAAATATGTAATTATTCATTTCATTTTTATTATTAATTATTAAATAATATTTTTTTATTTTGTTATGAAATAGAAAATAACATGTTTTAATCATTTTCTTTATTATCGAATATATAAGAAAGTCACGTACTTTTAATCACTTTTCAATTTCTATTTTTCTTTTTTTAAATAGATAGAAGTACTATCACCATGGAATTAAAATCAGAAGAAAAAATAATAGTGAGGCTATATTTGAGTATAGGGACTACCATGGTCACATTTTAGCACGTAATAAGGTATAACCCCTTGTTGAGGCTATAATTCATTTCATATCTAGATTGTATGAATTTATAACCACAAATTCTCTTCCACATTCGAGAACCACAGAAACTGTTTGTGGAATTATTTCTGGAAATAAAAACAAAATCAATATCTTTCAAATTAAAAAACAAATCAATTGAAACTTTTACTTTTGTGTTTGAAGCATCCCACAAACTACTAAGAAGAAAGATGGCAGAAACAAAACTGAGCAGCTTCAAAGACGAAAGATGGTCACTCCATGGCATGACAGCTCTAGTTACAGGGGGCACCCGAGGCATTGGGTTTGTTCAGTGCTATCATTTGTTCTCCTTTCTTATTTTAGTATTAATCTCTGTTATTGTTAGTTCATTTCTATTCCCTTGTGAATTAGGTATGCAATAGCAGAAGAATTGGCAGAATTTGGAGCATCTGTGCATATATGTGCCCGGAAACAAGAAGATGTTGATAAATGCTTAGAGGAATGGAAAAGAAAAGGATTTCGGATAACAGGGTCCGTATGTGACGTACTGTCCCGTGACCAACGTCAAAATTTAATGAAAAATGTTGCTTCCATCTTTAACGGAAAGCTCAACATTCTGGTACCTTCTAAGATTAATATTTTATACAGTATATGTGGTAAAATTAATAATAAGATAATTAAGAATTTTTCAGATATTAATATTAAGAGTTTTTATTTTTTTTAAATATAATTAAAGATTTTTGGCATAATACAAATAGAATATTGTATTTCTCATTTAAATTATCACAAATTATCAATATACACTATATCATAACAACATTTGACATGGTTCTTAAACATGCAAGAGGGGATCAAAACATAATGATGGTAGCTAGAGAACAGTATTTCTAATTACAAAACTTTTGGTATGCTGCATGTTGAAAGACAAGAATAATTTATATTAGGATTTCTTTCAATTTATTCAAGTCTCCACCATATGTATTCTAAATTTACCGATAAATGGTATCTAATTTTCTTCCATTTTTTTCTCTGGTTTCAATATCCGCCAGACTGACTAGAATTACTTGGTAAATGGTTTCATGTAGATAAACAATGTTGGAACATCTATACCTAAAAACCTGATAGATTATACTGCAGAAGATGTAAGTACAATAATGGGAACTAATTTTGAGTCTTGTTACCACCTATGTCAACTAGCATATCCACTTCTCAAAGCGTCTGGATATGGGAGCATAGTATTCATATCCTCCATTGCAGGTCTTAAAGCTTTCCCTTTATCTTCTATCTATGCATCCTCTAAAGGTATGTTTCCCTATCTTTGAATTTTGTCTACCGCAACTTCATAAATTGGAGTTTCAGAAGATAATGAATATCTGCATATACATATAATTCAGGAGCTATGAATCAATTCACCAAGAATGTAGCATTGGAATGGGCAAAGGATAATATTCGTGCAAATGCTGTAGCACCTGGACCTATCAAGACCGTACTCCTGGATTCTTTCATGGTATGTATGCTGTGCTAGTAAATTAGTATTTATGGATAACTCATCTTAATTGAACACTTTACGCGAGATTTCCTTTTTCACTCACTTTATCTTTTTATCTCATTTCTCTTGGAAAATTAAATATTAGGTTTAAATTTAGTTTATATAATTTTATTTAAGCATACGTTAATTTAGATTTAAAGATATTTATGTTAGTATTAAATATTTTGATTAAGCATATGTTTTAGGCCAAATATCTCAGATTATGAATTTAGGAAGTTGAAATAAAAAACTCATTATGAACCTATAAATACCCAGTTATTGTTGACAAACAAGTATCTAAATAAAACACTCTGTATATTATCACTTGATGTGTTTGTAATGAGTGATACATGGTCAATTTATTGGCCTTTGGATATGGACTTTCAACTACATGCATTTAATACAACTACTACCTTTTAACTACATACATTCAATACAACCACTACTTTTCAACTACTACCTCTATAACCATTACCTCTCAACTACATGCATTTAATGTTTACCAAACAAAATTTTCTCATAAACTTAAATGTTTTTCTTATCCTTCATTCCAAACATCTTCTTGTTATTCTCGAATAAAATGGTTGGCAGTGACTTCGTGAACATATCTGTAGCTTGTGCATCTGTGTTGAGCTGCTAAGGAAATCAGCAGCCTAATTGTTTCCATTCTCGTCACTGGGGCGAATACTTCGTCATAGTCTATTCCTTCCTTCTACTTGTACCCCTTCACTACGAGTCGAGCTTTATATCGCTCAACTTCTCCTTCAGCATTTGTCTTCTTCTTGTATACCCACTTTACGTCGATAGGACGCGCTCCTTTGGGCAAATCAATCAGCTCCCATGTGTTGTTGCATTCTATTGCCCCGATCTCCTCGTCCATTGCCTTTTTCCACCTTTTCTCCTGCACGGCCTCTTCAAAATTTAAGTCTTCTGAATCTTCCAAGAGACATACAACATGCATTTTGTCAGTGGAGTTGTATATATCTTGTAAACTTTGCGCTCTGGGCTGTAGAGGTTCATCTTCTTTATCAGAAGTCTCATGATCTCTTACAGTATGTGGTGTATATATGAAGTGAATTTTTGGGAATCCACTTCATCTTACCTTTAGGTATGGCATATTTCTTAATTCTACAATATATAACAGAATGCCCTTTTTTCATACAGTAAAAACATTTGACAAACAGAGACGAAACAGATTTACTATATGCAAAATAATTTTTAAATGCTCTGGTTTTCTTTCCAATAGACGGTGTAAAACCTATGCCACCTCGGTCAATAACTAATTTCTGAGAATTAAGTATCATATCAAGACTAGTCTTTCCTTGTGCTAGTTTAGCTGCAGTTTTTACTAAGTATGATACTTGTTTTTATAACTCAGGACAATTTTTGCAATCTTTAATATTACACATGCAATCAGAATTATTATCTAATTCCAGATTTTCATTCTTGGTTTCTTCATCAACTATTTTCTTTTCAAGAATAGTGATCTTGTTTTCTAATAACCTATTCATGCTTTTTAATCTTTTATTTTCAGTTTCTAATTTTTTTGCTACTGCATGTATTTCATAAAAGGCATCTTGTAATGAACTATAATTCATAGAGTCGAACTTACACTCGGTTTTTGGTGAATCCGAAGTTGACCATTAGGCATGTCTCTCGTTGTTTCTTCATAGGTCATTTCAAGAATCTTCCACATTTGTGTAGCTAGATCGACGAGTGTGCTATCCCGAAAAAATCGTTTCGTTAAGTGCGTAAATGATAATATTTTTGGCAATACAATCATCCTGGATTAATTTCTTTTCATAGTCATTTAAGCTAGACCAATCTTTGTTAACTATATCAGTTTCTTGTTCAATTATATTCCAAACATTTATACTGACAGATTCAATAAAGATCTTCATCCTAATTTTCTAAAAAGGATAATCTGTTCCACAAAACAGTGGAGGTCTATCAATACAAGCACCCTCAGAAAATTTGTTTCCAGCCATGGATCGAAGAACTTGAATAACTTTCAAGAACCTCGCTCTAATGCCAATTGTTAGAAAAGTAGGTTGAGATCAAGAGGGGGGGTGAATTGATCTTTAAAAGTTTTTCGCAAATAACAGATTATCTAATTCAAAAATTAGGATTTCAGATCTGTTCTTGAATTACAAAGCAATCAATCAATATAAATGCATCGACAGAATTAAAATAGAGAAAGGTTAAGAAAGATATCACTGGTGTTTTATACTGGTTCACCCAATACCAGGGCTACGTCCAGTCTCCAGCCAAATTCCAGCTGGGTTCCACTAGATCAAATGTTTTACAGATTTACAATCTTACACTTAATCTACCACAAGAACCAAATTCCAGTTCCTACACTCAACCTCTCACTAAGAACCAAATTCCAGTTCTTGATAACCTCTACAACCAAATTTCAGCTGCAGAGAGACCAGTGCCCAAATTCCAGGCACCAAACAATACAAAAAGAATGTAAAGAAATGAAAAAGAAGAAACTAGAATGCACAAACCAGTTTATGCAATTCATCGTAAGTGTTTCTTCTTCAAAAGAAATCAAGTTGCCTCAAGAAAGATTTTCAAAGAACTTCTCAAAAATTGATGCGAATCTTTCTTAAAAAGAGTGCTAAAGTTTGCTTGATTGATTGTTCAAGGATGTGTAAAACCGATGTTCAATGTATATTAAAAAAGTTCAAGCCAAACTGTTTTTATAGAAGATTTTCAAAACTGCTGGTTTAATTAATCTGTTAAAAGATTCTTTTAATCTGTTAAAAGTGCAGCTTTAAATATGTTAAAACTTCTTTTAATCCATTAATACGTTCTTGATTCTTTAACGATTTGTTTTAACTGATACGACAACGTTTGTATCAATTAAAACACTTTACAAAAAATCTTATAAGTTGATTTAATCAATTGTTTCACGATTCAATCGATTGAAATACTACAAAACTTTCTCGTAAAACTTTTCAAGTTATTTTAACTGATAAAAATAAGTTTTAATCGATTAAAACGCTGTGGAGAAAATTTCTAAGTTGTTTTAATCGATTGAAACGTGTTTTAATCGATTGAAAAAGTTCTGATCGGTCATAACTCAATTCTGATCGATCATATCTGATTCTGATCGGTCATAATTGTATTCTGATCGATCATCCTAAACTCCAAGTGGTTTTAATCAATTAAAATCAAGTTGTATCGATTAAAAATACTGTAAAAACACTTTTCTGAACATTCTAAGTGATTTTAATCGTTTATTTCAAAACTGTATCAGTTACAAACTTGTTTAAGAAAGCTTTTGTCAAAATACTTTGTTTTTAATTGTTTAAAACATTTTTAGAGGCATTTTGCAAAATCTTTTAAGTGAAGAAACCTCATGCAGCAGAAAAGATAAAATGATTATACCTAAGCATAGTTGTGGACACACTAATCCCACAACTCTTTTATCTAAGTGACTTGATGACCGCTGCAAAATTGCTTTTGACTTCATCTTTGACTTCATCAAATCAATGAGATCTTTGCCAAAGTATTTTAATAAGATCTTCATCACTTTCAGTCTCCCCCTATTTGATGAAGACAAACACCTCTTTTGAAAAAAAAAAACTCTGCAAAAAGAAGTCACTTGATAATACAGATTAGTGAGTAATCAAAAATGAATTATCTTCCTAATTCTCCCCCTAAATTGTTGCTCCCCCTAAATTAAGAGTTATTTCTCCCTTTAAATTGATCAAAAGTAAAAGCAACTATTTCTCCCCCTTTTGACTTCATCAAAAAAAATAGGGAACAGAAGAGAAACAATGTATAGGTATGTATTGAAAAGATTTTGAAAATAGAAAAAAATGAAAAATACAATACTTTACTCATGTAAAGATCAATCAAAGTTGATTCAAACTTATCTTCATTAACACGTTTGTAATGAATACAATTAATACGTGTAAAGATAAGGGAATCACGCTTTAGTAGCATGTTACAATAACAACCATTAACTAAAGCCTTTAATTTTTCTTTCCAGAATAAAAATCGATTAAAAGCAGGATAAAATCAATTAAAAAGTTCATGTTTAATGATTTTAATCGATTGAAATAAAGGTTTAATCGATTAAAACAGTGAAGGACTTTGAAATATAAAACATAAGTGCATTTAATCGATTATTTCGACATTTAATCGATTAAAACAGTAGGGAAAAATGTTGTATAAATTCTTTTAATCGATTTAAAAGATTTTTTATTGAATAAAACACTCAGTTTTGAAAACTAAGTAATGTTTGATGCATCTAAAATGCCTAATTCAGTGCGAATTTTGAAAAACCGATCACGAGCAAGAGGTTTTGTAAAAATATCGTCTAGTTGTTTTTCAGCTTTCTATAAAGAAGATTTCGCAATCACCTTTCAAAACATGATCTCTAATGAAATGATGTCTAATTTCTATATGCTTTGTCCTAGAATGTTGGATTGGATTTTTAGTTAACATAATGGCACTAGTATTATCACACAAGAGAGGAATTTTTCCGAGAATTAAACCATAATCCTCAAGTCGTTGTTTGATCCAAAGAGATTGAGCACAACAACTTCCAACTGCAATGTATTCTCGCTTCACTGTAGAAAGAGCAACACATGACTCGCTTTTACCGTACCATGAAATTAGACTCGCTTCCAAGGAGATGACAAAGCCACTCGGTGCTTTTCCTATCAAGCTTACAACCTCGCAAAATCTGAGTCAGAGTATCCAACTAGATTTAGTTTTGACTCACCTGGATACCATAACCCAACATTTAAAGTTCCCTTAAGATATTTGAGGATTCTTTTTGCAAGTAGAAGATGAGACTCTTTTGGTGCAGATTGGAACCTGGCACACATACAAACACCGAACATAATGTCGGTCTACTTGCCGTTAAATATAATAAAGAACCAATAAGCCCTCTATATTTAGTTTCATCAACAGTATTTTCCTTTTTCATCGTAATCAAGATAGCAATTTGTGGACATAGGTGTTGATGCCTCCTTGCA